CTTATCATGGTGTTTACTTATGGCAGTGCATATGTTTTCATACTATTTACACATAAAAACGTCAGGGGAGGGAGATATACTACCGTGCTATTTACACAGAAGATACCAGAGTATCTTTCCAAAAACAAATTCCCTACGGTCAAAGTTACCATGGTGCTTCTACCTCAATTATCAGATGTGCGCTGCGTATATTACCATCTATTTACACATAAATTATCAGGTATCTTTTCACATTTATTTTCCCCAATGGTTAAAGTTACCACGATGTTTGTATCTAAATTATCAGGTCTATGGCGTAAATGTTATCGTGCTATTTACAGAAATTACCGAGGGGCGGGTTCAACAAATTTGTTCCCAATGATCAAAGTTATCACGATACTTGAAACAAAAAGTTTTTCATTGCTAACATATTAAAGGCAAAAACACGTTAAAAACAGTATTTCCTTTAGAATGTTCAACAATGAGTGTCATAGATGAGGTAGTTAGCTCCCTTTGTTAATTACCTGTAGACCAAAGATCAAATCCTAGTCTAAGCATTATTTTTGATGAAAATCAAGAAGGCATGTGGGGCCATAAATGACGATTACGAAAATTAGGAAGGCACGGAAGGGTGTGCCCGATAAAATCGGGGAGGACGTGCGGGAAAGGAAAGAAATCGGACAAGGACGTGAGAGAAAGGAAAGAAATCGGAAGGTCGTGCGAAAAAGAAAGGAAATCGAGAGAGAATTGATGTCGTTGGATGCGTGTGGCAGTTTCGCAATCTGCCACACGGTTGCCATATACATATTTCGTTACAAAAATAGAAGTAGTAAGTTGCTGCAAGATGAAAATTATGCTTAACAAAAAAAAAGAATGAATACAGAGTCAATACAAGTACATAATAAAAGTTAAAAAAGAAGTTTGCACACTAGATAGCTGAACTCTCTCGATCGATAGAAGAAAAAGGAACATAGACGCAGAGATAGATGTGAAACATGCATCACGCAAAAAGATTCCACGGAAATGAAATTTTTAAACATGACAAGTGCAGCACTGATAGCAAGGGCTTGGA